ACTTTGATAATATATATAAAAATACAAAAGACCTGATAAAGTTAATGACCAAAGCAATGGAGGAGTAATGTTTATTAGAAATACGTCTTATTATAATGTAATGGTTTATAATTATAATTTTATTCGAATGCTGTGTTATTATGTTTAAAGAGTTTTCTATTAGCAATAAATTGTGTTTAAAAACTTTCTTGCACATGTTTTTTTTTTGTTTTTCACTCATATGTATAGTCCCATAAACATGAAATGTGCACACCTTTTATTCAGAATTCATCACTATTTGTGTATATACGCCTATAGATAGATACCTACGTATAGATCATCAGCGCTCATAATATATAATAACGCGAGCGCACTATACTATTATCGTATTCCGCCTCGAGTATAAAAAAATGGTTATATAATAATAATAACAAATATTCATAAATTTCACTTTTATCCAACTAAAAATAATAGAAACATTAGTTTTCGAATACAGTGATTTTATTACTTAATAGAATGAATGCTGTCTGATGATGATTGGGTAACCTGGATCTTTTTTGATCCAGGTTACCCAATTATCATCTACTAAAATTGAAACTCAACTAAATTGTCAACAACAAGATCAATTAAATAAGTTGCTACAAGAGTATAAAGATGTTTTCATTTCCAATGGTACCCCTACAAGCGTAACTGAACATAGTATTGTCAAATTAGACCATCCACCAATATCTATGCCGCCTTACAGGTTATCATCTCCCCGTAAGGAAGCGCTTAAAACTGAGCTCCATAAAATGTTAGAGGGTGGTATCATAGAACCTTGCACTTCGCCATGGGCAGCTCCCGTGGTAATGGTATCAAGGTCAGATGGCACCATTAGATTTTGTGTCGATTATAGGAGACTAAACAAAATAACTGTGCCTGACATATACCCTATGCCTAGAATAGATGATTTATTGGATGATGCAAAACCCACTCCTTACATGTCAGCATTAGATCTCAAGGCTGGCTATTGGCAAATTAAGGTTCGTGAAGAGGACCAGGACAAAACAGCATTCATTACACCATTTGGTATATTCAAATTCACAAGAATGCCATTCGGATTGCGAAATGCTCCATCTACGTTCCAGAGGCTAATTGATAGATTTCGTGTAAGCCTAGAAAATGTTAAAATGCTGGCATATTTAGATGACTTAATTGTGTTCTCGTCAGACTTCAAAGGTCACCTAAATGACCTACGATCCATTTTCGTAAAGATGAGAAAAGTTAACCTGACTGCTAATATACACAAATGTCGGTTTTGTTGCTGTTCCTTAAAATATTTGGGTCACCTAATCACACCCAAGGGATTGCACTTGGACCCTGATAAAGTCGCTGCTATAGTCGATTTACCCAAACCAACTAACCTCAAACACTTGGTAACGTTTCTACAGACATGTTCTTGGTACCGCCGTTTTATAAAGGACTTCTCAAAAGTTGCAGAACCATTGACACGACTCACTAAAAAAAAACAGAATGGTTGTGGACTGAGGAGCAAAACAAAGCGTATGGGGATTTGAAAGCGTTACTCACTAGTGCACCTATTTTAAAACAAGATAGATAGATAGATAGATAGATAGATAACTCTTTATTGTTGATATTACACTATTTACAGAAACAAACAAATTAAACTTAATTAAAATGCAAACAATTGGCGGCCTTATCGCTTAAAGCGATTTCTTCCAGGCAACCTTTGGATGGAGAAAGAGATAGTCTTTATAACGGAGACGGGGGTGTACATTTGAACAACAATATATCTACAATTAAATGCAACAATGAATATAAAAACAAAAATTACATACCTACAATAAATATTTATATAAATATGATATTATATAATAATAATCGCATACATCTATATGATCTACATATATAAATACATATATACACATATTAACAAATCTGGAATAAGTAACAGTGCAGCAGCATCATAGTAATTATTGTGAAAGGTAGAATTCTTTGACGTAAACTTTAAATGTTGGTAGGGATTGAGCTCTCCTGATCGAAACTGGGAGAGAATTCCAGAGACGAGCAGCTTTGACGGTAAACGAGGAATCGAAAAAGGAAGTGCAATGAGAAGGAATTTCAAGAGTCAAGTTCTCCGTTGATCGCAATGCATATGAATTTGCGGAGTGGAGAAAATTGAATCGATCTTTGAGATAGTTTGGGTAACTGGGATTAAATAAAATATTATAAAGAAGGGATAGTATATGAGAATTCCGGCGAAGACGCATAGGAAGCCACTTGAGCTCTGTGCGAAACTGAGAAACATGGTCATATTTGCGCAAGCCAAAGATGAACCTGATACAAAAGTTTTGAAGTCGCTCAAGTTTATTAAGCTGGTCCTCCGAAAGATCAAGGTAACAGGCGTCGGCATAATCTAGGATAGGAAGCAGCAAAGATTGCGCTAACGCAGCTTTAGTGGCAGTGGGTAAAAAGTTACGTAATCTCTTCATTGAAGCAGCTGACGCGTATAACTTACGACTAATCAATTGCAATTGTGGACCCCAATTCAGACAACTGTCCATAAGTACCCCCAGGTTTTTGACAACTTGACTAAAGGGAATATCTATACCATCAAAAACAACTTTCGGAAGTGCCTGGAAGTCAAGCCTGGAGAGTAATCTGGAGCTACCCGTTATCATCACTTGAGTTTTTACAGGGTTGATACTCAAACCAAAAGCTTTACTCCATTTTTCAATACGTTGAAGGTTGAGATTAATATTTACCACTGCTTCAGATATTTTAGAGAATGGTGCATCACAGTAAATCTGAAGATCGTCTGCATATAGGTGGTAGGAACACGAAAGATTTTGAGAAATAGAATTAATAAAGATTGCAAATAGAAAGGGAGACAATACGCCGCCTTGAGGGACACCAGCTTTCGTGTCACACCATGACGAGAACTTCTCATCAAGGCGGACTCGCTGCTTGCGCCCATACAGATAGCTGTGAAACCAATCAATTAACGTTGGAGATATGTTAAGTAAGCGCAGCAAAGCAAGAAGTACGTCGAAATCAACCGTGTTAAAAGCATTACTGAAGTCCAATAATGTTAGTACCGTCAAGTGGCCATTTTCCATCGCAAGACGTATATCATCGGTAATTTTTACTAGCGTTGTGGTCGTGCTATGGCCGGGCCGGAAGCCGGACTGGAGAGGATTCATAAGGTTGTGGCGAGAAATAAATTTACTAATCTGTTGATGGATTAGACGCTCCAAGACTTTAGATAGGAAAGGAAGAATACAAATAGGACGAAATTCATTAAGTATTTTGGGATTGCTAACTTTAGGTAATGGAATTATTTGAGCTTCTTTCCAAGAAGAAGGAAAGACGGAATTAGAAATAGAGCTATTGAAGAGAAAAGTAAGGACAGGTAGAATAATGTCAAGGATTGGTACTAACATATTTCGGCTTATACCATCACTACCAACCGCATTGGAGGTGACTGACAGTACACACTTCTCAACATCACAATCCGAAAATTGATCAAGAAAGAACTGAGGATGATTAGGAATTGGTAATACGGAAAGACGATTTAAAGTATGGTTTTTTTCAGTGTCATTAATATTAGACGAAGAAGAGAAGAAGATATTGAGGGAGTCAATATTTAAATCAATAGGAATAGAATACTGTTTTGATTTACCAATCCCAAGTGATTTGAGAAAATTCCAGACTTTCCCTGGATCTTCATTTTGGACAGATTTATGGATATGGCGACGCAATGCATCCCTACACACCACATTGCAGCGATTTCGAATTTTGTTGTAGGTCTCTCTGTTATGGGCAGTCGGACGACATTTATATCTGCTCCTAGCAACAGCTTTTTTATGCATTAAGCTTTTTATGTCATCAGTAAGCCAAGGTGCAGGCAAGTGTTTCAGTTTTATCGGTCGGAAAGGTGCGTGCCTATCGTATAGCTGGTTAATTAGAGAATTAAAGATCCCAACCTGCTCATCTACAGTCTGAGCATCACACACTGAAGACCAGTCAATACTACGCGCGTCCTCTAGAAATTGGTCACGATCCATACCACTAAAATTGCGTTGAAAAATGACTTTAGGTTTCAATTTAGGAGGACGAATTTTATAGGACACATAAATAAGGTCATGGTAAGAGAATGCATCAGCTGAACATTGTCCATATTTTGCAACATGCTGTAGAGAGGATACTATGGATAGATCGAGAAGAGAAGGCGTAGAGTTAGGGAAATGATGAGTAGCATTAAGCGGAAGAATGTGCATGTTGCTCGAGTCGATAACTCTTTGAAGAGTAGAAGAACGGTGGTCATTTTTGAGAAGACAGGTGTTGAAATCTCCCATGATAATCGAGTGAGTAAAAGATGGAACAAACTCATCCAGTAATTTTTCAAAGGTATCAAAGTAATTAACGCGTAAAGAAGGGCTATAATAAACTCCGAGTAGAACCTTAGTGTGTGAAAGAGTAACTTCCACTAACAGATGTTCGCCTGCATTGGATGACGGTGGCTGCGGTGAACTGCTTATAATGTTGAAAGGAATGTTGGATCTCAAATAAATAGCTACACCACCACCAACAGAACCGATGCGATCATTACGTAGGAGATGAAATCCGGGTAAAGCATAAGAAAGAGAGGACAGACAAGGTTTTAACCACGACTCGGAGATAAGTATGGCATGAATGTTTTTGTGGGTAAACGACGCCAGCATGTCAGGGTAATGAGCCGGAATACTCTGCGCATTGATGTGAATGACATTAAAGTTTTCCGGAACATCGGAGAACTGAGTTTCAAGAATATCAGGAAGCGAAGGTAAACTAGAGAAACTATCACTACTACTGGTGCTGCTGCTATCCACTGATGACAATAATAAGTATAGTTCATTATCACTGTCATGTTTATTAGGCATAATATTCTAAATATAACTAAATATATAAAACACAAAATGTAATAAATAAATTATTAATAATAAATATTAACTACCAACTATCTAAAACACTGTCTCTCTCTATCCACCGGCTGCAGTGTTAAGTAACATATTATAACATAAATTGATCAGATTTAAAATTACGAAATAAATTAAGTAATAGGTCAGGTGTGAAACCTTAAAGAAACTAAGTAACACACTATTCTACTAACAAAATAAAGAAAAGTAGGCTGTATGGAATAAATCCCTTTGCTCTCACAAAAACAATAATTCTTGTCATATACATATCACTGTCAAAATAACAAGTTGTTTGTAAGTTATTTGTTAAAAAAAAGAGTGAATTATAACATAAGAGGGTGATATTTTAATTTAAAAATTTGTTCCTACTCGAAATTACTTAGTTTAACTGAAATTTATTAACAATTTATACACAGACCTGTAACTAATATGATTATGAGAAGAACTTCACTTTTTGTTTGCGATACCAGCACGTCTACTCTTCGTTGTAAATACAGGCTTCGCTGGAAGCGTGACCGTGGGCTCCTTGGTAACTTTCAATGGTGAACTCGCTACCACAGAGATCTTCTTCAAGTCATCCATGGTAGTAATGCGCACACGCTTCCCGTTTGCACCGATCACCATGATAAGCCCCTGTTGTGTAAAGCATTTGTTGATGCCAAATGCGTCCCGAGCTGCCATAAAAACAACATGCCGCGACTTTGTCAAAAATTCGGATATCGTAATCCCTGACTTTTTGAGTGCGGTCTTAGCAAACCAAATTTGTCTCGCATATTGATATCGCGTAGTTTGATGAGTATGGGCCTAGGCTTACCTTCGCCAGACACACGCCCCATACGATGACATTTGCTGATGCTTTCGACAGAGAAATCGGCGACTTTTAACCGGTCAACAATGATACTCGTTATCACAGCTGAGGTATCCTCGCCTTTCAGCTCAGGCAGTCCGTGACACAGCAGCACTTTTCGCCTGCTTCGCATTTCTATATTATCAACTTGCTGTGCAAGGAGACCAACTTGTTGCTGAAGTGCTTGAAGAGCAGTAAAAATGAAGGAGCGGAAAGCAGAAAAATCACTCTTCAAACTGTTGATGTTGGGTGATGGGCACGCAGCTTGAAGCTCACTCTGGTATTCATCCATTTTCTCAGTGAAGATCTGTTGTAGCTTGAGAATTGACTCTTGCAAAACTTCCATCTTAGTGAAGTGTAGTGACCAAACAGTGATTATGTGAAGTAGTAGAAGATAATTTTAAAGGATAACACTCGCCGGCAGGTATTGTGTATCACTTGTTAATAATTCATTAAAATATATATTTTTAAAATTAATTGAACTATGAAATTAATTTATTAAATTTAATAAATGATAAATGGTGTTTACTGTCTTACACCTACCCGCCTAAGTCAAGCTGATTCTTCTAAACCATATATTTTGAAAACAGATGCGAGCAACTATGCCTTAGGGGCAGTTTTAGTGCAGGGGGAGAGAGCCGAGGAACATCCCGTATCCAATACGCCAGTCGCTTGCTTTCCCCAGCAGAGCGCAACTATAGTACAACAGAGAAAGAAGCGCTTGCCGTCGTCTGGGCTGTTACAAAATTTGCAGGATATACAGGAATAATTTAAAACCACTGCGAAGATTTTGTGAAAATAAACTTTAAGTAATTTAAACAAACACGTATTTTTTATTTTGATATGTTCCAATACTAAAAAATAAAGTTATCGCTTATCAAAGATCGAGATTTTAAAACTTAATTTATGGACACCGCGCGCCGTGCGTCAGCTGAGCGCTCGCTCGACCCCGCCGTAGGCATGTACTCGTAGGTACCTATCTACACGGGTCACTGAACGCTCATTTTGTTAGATTCGAACTAGATTTTATGCCATGATCTGAGGTGATTTCTAAGAGTAATTCCAATTTTCCCTTCATACTTTTATGGTTAAGGCCATCAAAATGCAAAAAAATAAAAGAGAAACATTTTCGTTACCTAGAAAAAAATATTAACGTTATGCCGAAGTTACATAGGTACTACTGCGTTAAGGCGTATTTAAAAAAATTGGAATCAACTACGTATTAATGTTTAATCAAAACAAATACCTAACTAATTACCTAATTACTTACCATGTATTTTAATATTTGTTCAAAATGAAGTCCACGTCTGTCCAGACATAAACGTGCACATTTCATTAAATTGTCATTTAATTTATTTAAACACTAGTGTCACTTTTCACTTCACTAAAAGCGTTATTATTTTTTATTGTTGTCTTCTAGACTTTGTGCCTCCTCTACATCCCGGCGTTTGACTTCTTCCCATAAGAAACAGTCCCTCACGTGTGAACTCAATGTGAATGCCTCATCCGTCCACAAGATGTTTGCATCGCGGTGATGTAGAAGCCACTCACATAAGGCTCGACGTGGTACTGGGTCTAGGTCATGGAACTGCTGAACCGGCTGAAAGTGGTACGGATGGAGTCCGGCTGTTTTTAGCAGCTTCAATACCGCAGGCTGGCTCACACTAAAGAGACATGCCGCATCGTGGGTACTGACGCGGGACCGCGGGGTTACGGATCCCAAAGGCCCGCATACGAGGTATGCTCTTCGTCGCATACTTTCTCCGAATTGCACTTATGTAGGTTCTCACCACTCAGAAGATAAACTCGTACCATCTCGTAAAACTCACGACGGCGGGCGCGTCTCGTGCGCGGGAACGCGAGGGCATGTCACATCGGCGCGTGCGTATGAGTCTCACTGCGCCGCCACCATAGATAATACATAATACTGGTATAGATGCGCCACTTAAGAATAATTTTCATTTTAAGCGGACGCCATGGCCAAGAGATGGCGTTAGTTTCTATGCGAAGTTTTAAGCATGCTATTTAACCTGTTATAGTAACGACCAGTATTTCTAATAGATGGCTCTGATAACTATTTTTAAAATTTGGTTTATTAGGGATTATTAGTAACTCGCAAAACCAAAATTGTTCTCAAAGCAGAGAAACTTTTTATTTTATTTGAAAAAATTCTTCTCTAATAATCAATTTAGAGTTTTGTTGATGTTAAATATTTTTTTAATAAAATAAAAAGTTATTCTGTCCTAAGGAACAATTTAAGTTTTGCGGGTTACTACGTGTTTGCTTTCCAGTGTCGTCGATATGTGGATAAAATGTAGTCAAAAAAATCTTTATAGTATATTTTTCCCATATTTAATATTTTTTTATAAATTAAAGAGCAAATGTATAATTTTCTTTATACTATATTCCAAGCAAACCAGCAGTATAATTCAGTTAGCGTATTTTATTCATATAATTACAGATCATATAAAATTACATAATGAAATGTAACTAAACTATAAAGATAAAATAATCAAATTGATTTATTGGTAATAGTAGAAATCAGATAAACATTGGTCACTGTGATTTCTATTATTATTGGAAAAAATTAGACGATATTTCTTTCTCAAGCACCCGACTCTTTTTCTATAAATGATAATCTTAATTTATTCCATTACAGATATTACTATAAAAGTAATTCTCTCTCTTACTTAAGAAAATCAGGAATCAGAAATGCATGTTACCTACAGTAATCATTTTTTAGGCTGTTTTTTTTATCTTCATGTAAAATATATTCAATTTGTATGATTAAAATAATATAGCTAATTAATTAAGTTTGCAAAATATTGACAGTTACTATTTCAGTTGATAAACTTAGGACGAAATAAACGGTGGTACGACGCACCGTTACAACCTTAAGAGTTTGAAAGTAGAGTTTAAAATGAACTAGAGAAATTTGACAGTTCATGGTACCCTGACGTGCAGTCGTGTGTACTTGAAAATACAAAAAGTCAGCCATAGATACTTAATATGATAAAATAGATAAACAATCTTAACACGTCTCGTAAAAATTGACTGAACAAATTTTGATGAGAATTAAACGTGAGACAAAATACAAAGATTGAAGAATAATTAAATATTTACAATTTTTTTTTTTCATCAAGTAAGGAAGAAATTCTGACATCAACATAGAAGAATTACTGGGATGATATTAAGTAAGTTAACAAGTATATTATAATGGGACAAATTATCACACAAAAATCTTTACTTTAAAATTATAAATAAATAAATAAAAAGACCATGTTTATCTATCTTACACATTTGATAGAAAAATATTTAATTAACACTTTTTCTTACGATGTATTTTATTATAATTGAAAGCCTGTAATTTTATTTCATCATTACGATCAAAATCAACAATCTTCCCATTTAATAATCTATTGACACCAGTGCACCAACTATTAATGATTAAATTAATTGATAACGTAATGATATACTTAACCAACACCAATTTATGTTTTTGACAACTGATCATTGAAAAATCACATCGACAATCAATAAAGAAAATAATTTTTTTATCAATATCGGTCATTTGAGGTGTATCCCTTAAACATGTAATAATCATAAAATAAATTTCATTGAGAAGTTTAACAAAATCATCGCGTGCATAAAATAAAGATTTCTTTGTATAATCAATTGCATAATTAAATGAATCAACATTCCTCTCAGATTCCAGTAAATCGACATTACATACTTCACATTTTTTATAAATATTTGTTTTACATTTTTTTATTATATAACCAGCAACATATCTTTTCGCCTCAACATGTATAATCGATTCACTTGATGTTATTTCATTCAAAGCAGTAATTAAAGAATCAATTTCGCATGCAAAATCAGTGTAGCAGGGAGAGTCACATTTTTCTAACAATAAAAATTTCAACGATTGCAATTGCTCATAATCATCTTTTTCACAATTAGCATTAATAGAATGGCTTGAATTTATGTTATTAATCAAAACTGTTTTAAATGCATTCATAAACTGCATGCACGTTGGATTGATATTTCTGATTCCATTACTTCTTATACAGCAAAAGGAATTTTCTAGGGGATCCTGGTTAAAATTTCTCATTATAATATTTTTTATTTTAAATTTTTTTCGTAAATAATTCCACAGTTCTATGATAGTATTTACATTATGTATCCAGTTCTGAACAGATGGGATTTTTTCATATTTGACAATTTTTGAACCATCTTTTTGTATAATATGTTTTTCAAATTGTATTGATTTTAAAATCGGGATTATTTCCTGGGTCCAGAACTGAATATGTGGGGAATTATTCTTAAGACACCCTTTAAGAACTTTTGCTGTATCACAGTAAGAGTGACCATTAAAAGAATCGAACAATTTGTCAAATATCAATAAAAGGTCTGCCGTATCTTCACATTCAGCAGGTAGCACATTGCGTCCTGAAAAAAATAATAAAATAATTTATGTAGTAATTGCTGTAATAATATCACGAAAATGTAAGTGTGGCTAGAGTACCAATAGTTCTGTACAACAATTTTAAAACTTTATAAAAGCACTTTAAGTAGCTCGGTGGCGTAGTGGATAAGCGCCGCGGCCCGGTCAGTCACGGGATAGGAGACCAAAAAATTATTATCTCGAGCTACTCCGTGCTTCGGAAGGCACGTTAAGCCGTTGGTCCCGGCTGCATTTGCAGTCTTTAATACCCTCCAATCCGCATTGGCCCAGCGTGGAGGGTCATGGCCCATGCTCCTTAACCATAAGGAAGGCCCCTGCAGTGGGGACGTAAAAGGGCTGGTGATGATGATGATGATAAAGCATAAGCACTGTACATTGCTAAAATAGAAAGACAAGTAAATTATGTCCAAGTTCTTTCCCGGTATTTGTATGAATGATGGAGGTTATCAATTTTATATTATATAATTTTATATAGGAATTTTATATTTTTAGACAGAAAATTATTTCGAATTCCTTTCAATAGATGGGGTGTGTCAAATAAAGGAAAAACTTTCAAATTGTCTATTTCAAAAGAATTAGATTGGTACTCTATATTTTCTCGTAAATATTTCTCCCTTGTCTCTTTTTGGAACATTTTAATTGTGCTAACATTTGATGTTCCTTGATAGCAAATCGTGACTACAATGATAATACCAGCTTCTTTTAGCTGTTTTATAGTATTAGTTGTAATTGTTTTTAATTCGATATTCTTTGTTGCGCTTTTACAGAACGTAAATAAAATTGGTTGTTTCGTTTTAGATTTCACACCTTTAATCATCAACACCAAAGCATGATCTGCAATATTTTTCGTTTTTTTTTTGTCCAAAATCTTCAAAACCGAT